CCAGAGCTGTGGAGGAGCCAGCGGGAGCCGAGGCCCGGGGGGAGCAGAGCAGAAATCGGGGAGCCCTGGGGGACGCTGCGACGCACACAGGACAGCGACGTTGGCAGGAGCCTGCGTGCCCGGTAGCCGCAGCCGCCGTGAGCCCGCTGGGAAGCTGCAGGCTGTCCCGGGCCGTGGTGACCTGCAGGGCCCGTGGCTGTGCCTGGCCTCCGGCTGACCTGGCGCCCGGCCCGGAGGAGGGTGACTTGGCCTCACAGGTGCCCGACCCTGCTGGCTGCCTCTTGTATTTCACACACGGTGTTTGGACACGTGCCGGGGGCCAGTGGGACAGGCGGCCGTCCTAGCGGAGCTCACGCCCCAGCTGGGGGGCCGAGTGGACACGGAGTCGGGGTGGAGACGCGGAACGCTGCGGAAGCAACACAGGACGGGACGGGACGCCCGGGGGCTCCGTGGGTGAGCGTCTGCCTTCGGCTCCGGGGACGACCCCAGGGTCCTGGGATCGAGTCCCGCATCGGGCTCCCCGCAGGGGGCAGCTTCTCCCTCTGCCTGGGTCTCTGCCTCTCTCTGTGTCTCTCATGGATAAATAAAAAAAATCTCAACAAAACCAATACCACAGCACACCCCTACCCCCAAATTCGGCACCGTGGCCTACGAAGGGGTTTGAGGAGCTGGCAGAAGCAGGAGGTCACGCTGACCTCCCCTCCGGCTCCCCTGCAGCAGGTGCCCGCCCACGGCAGGTGCCCTCCCTGCCCCCGGAGCCTCTGCCTGTGAAGGCAAAGGGCCGCCTCGAAGGATCTGGACCCCAGGCCTCGCTCGGCGCCCGGTCCACCAGGCCTGGCTCTTCCCCAGTGCCCGGGGAGGCCCCCCAGCCTGTCCTCTCTGAGGGCATCCACGGCCCTCTGCCCACCTGAGGACCTCAGGCCCGCGTCCCCCTGTGGAGCCCCTGACCTCACGAGGCGCCCGGGGGTCTGTGCTGGTTATTCGGAGCGTCAGGGAGCAGGCGCATCCGTGCCAGACCCATCAGCTCCCCGAAAGCCCGAGTTTGCTTACACATCCAGGACCCTTGAAAGCGAGCTCCCCCTCCCCTGCTCTTGGACAACGGCTGTATTTTCTTTTTAAATAAACTTTGATTTCGGGTTAACTTGACATGTATAGACAACGGCGGAGAGAGTTCCCCGGGTCCCGCAGACCTTCCCTCGGCTGCCGTGAGGCCACCTCCCCCGAGGCGTCGTGCAGAGGGGAGTCGCTCTGAGCCCCTGCCCCAGGTCGGGTGTGGGCAGATCTGGGGTCGGGGGAGGCACAGGGGCGTGCACACGCGCACACACGCACACGCCGCCGCATCGCAGGGTAAGCATCCTACTGTGACGTCACAGCGAAATGGGCCAGGCGTGGGCTTGGACACTGTTGCCTCCTACCTGCGCCCCGGAAGCCTCTCGGAGAGACGGAGGCGGCCGCGGGGTAGGACCGGCTTCTCCGCGTGCCCAGCGACGCCCAGGCTGACCGCGGTGCCGACCCACACGCTCCGCAGAAGCAGGCTGCCGGGGGACCGCCTGTGGCCTTTTCTGCGGGAGCTCGGGGACTCCAGGGCCCAATTACCCCCGCCAAGCTGACGACGCGACTCGCTGCCAATTAGCGGGTCCCTGTGCCTCTGGGGCCAGCCGGGGCCCCCCCCCCGGACTGAGGGCCCCTGGGCAGGTCTGTGGAGCCCAGGCCCCATGGCCCCCGTTTGACTGGATGGGCACACACGTTGGTGGCCGTGTCCCTGACCTTGGAGCCCCGCCCCCCGCCTGCCCCGTGTCCTGCACCCAGAGACCGGCAGGTGCACGGCTGCGCTGAGCGGAGCCCAGGCTTAGGCTTGCGGGAGGGCGGGGCGGCGGGGACAGCAGCTGCGGGTCAGAGCCAGAGCCAACCCCAGCAGAGCTGTCCCCGTCCCCCGGCGGCCGCCCCGCAGCCAGAGGGCCGAGGAGGACACGAGGCGGGATCTGACGCCCCCGCTCAGGACCTCCGCGGGGGCTCCCGTGTGCCTCACCACTGCCCCTCCCGTCCCTTCCCCTGGAATCCCACCCTGCCCCGCTCCTCCCACAGGCCTGCCCAGCCCCAGCCCCTGTCCCAGCCCCTGCCCCCTGCACCCGCCACCTGCCCCTGCCCAGCCCCTGCCCCTGCCCCTGCTTGCCAGATTCCTCCTGACGTGAACATGAAATTCGTGAACCCTTAAACCAAACACCCCGAACCCCAACTGCCATTACATTCCTGAGCCTCAGGGAAGCCCCACCGCTCCCCTGGCCTGAGCGCAATTCCTCGGCCCTGGGCCCTAATCGTGCCCATCTCATGGCATTTCCCGGAGCCTCGGGCTTCCAGACGGTCTCCAGGTCGCAGAGCCCCAGGACACCCCTGCTGCCCTTCACAGGAGCCCCCCGTCCTCCGTCTCCTTGAGAAGCTGTTTCCATCCGGCCCCTCCCCTGGAATCTGGAAGGGCTCCTGGAGCCCCCTCAGCCCCGGGCCCATTGCCACCCACAGAAGGTTGTGCGAGGAGCTTCCCAGCGGGGCAGGCGGTGCTCACCCCTCCCAGGAGCTGCAGCCTCCGCCGCGGCCTCCCCTCGCTGGCCGGGTCATCCTCTCCACCCCCCTGCCCCCTCGCCCCCCATCTGCCGCCCGCCACAGCCTGGGGCCACTCTCAGCGCTGCCCCCACCTGCCCCCCAGGTGTCCCTCTGTGAGCGCAGGACGCCAGCACCCGGCCTCTCTCAGCTCCCCACGCTCCCTGCTGCCCCTGCCTCTGGCCTTGGTGACAAGGACGCTGCCCAGCTCGCCTGGGCCCCTGACCACCCTTCACCTTGAAAAGGCCCTGGGGGGGGCCTCTGCAGCCCCCCATGGGCTCGCCTTCTCCCCTCTGGCTGCAGAGTGGCCGTCGCCCCCGGGTGGCCAAGCCTGCCTCTCTGGGCTCCGGGGGCGAGTGTCCATCCTCTGTCCCTCCAGCACGGACCTCAGGCCTGACGCAGGAGGCTGGCCGGCAAGGACACCAAACCGGGACAGACCAGCAAAGAAGTGAGCAAGGACAGGGGCAAGAGTCCCAGGCAGCGCGGCGGGGCTGCTCCCAGTGCAGAAGCCCGTCCCGCCGCCTGTGAGAGACGCTCCAGGACTCGGTCTCAGCCCCCGCTCCCGTGAACTCCAGAATTGTTTTCTTAATATAAATTTATTTTTATTGGTGTTCAGTTTGCCAACATATAGAATAACACCCAGTGCTCATCCCGCCAAGTGCCCCCCTCAGTGCCCATCACTCCAGGACTTTTTACAGGATTCCTGAGAAGGACCAGTGAGGACAAAGGGCCTATGCGCATCTTTACACTCCAGGGCTCCAGGAGGGCTGGTGGCTCCAGACCATGGGGGAGGAGGGCACGGAGGCCCCGGGGCTGTCCTGTCTGCGCCCTGGGGTTGTCTGCTGGTCTCCACGGACCCCTCCATCCTCCTCAGGTCCCCAGTCCTGCCCTGATGGTGTGGGTGCCTGCCCACGTGTTCTCTTACTTGGTCCCAGAGTCCAACAGACTGGGGCTTTGGAAGCCTGGAGCCGATCAGAGTCACCTGGAAAGCCGCGTCATGTCTGAAGGGTCTGGGCACACGCTGGGCACATCCTGAGGTTCTGACCTGGGGCTCGGCGTGCCCGGCCCCACAGGACTCTCACTAGAAGGGTGCCAGGTCCTGTTCGTGGCCCTGGGGCAGGGCTCCCTGGGGGATGAGGCTGGGGTCTCCAGAGGCTCCAGGTTGTTCCCTGACGACAGTGACAATGTCCTTTTTGTACCTCGGGGAACTAATCCCACGAATGTTTGTCAACTGCCCACCAGGCACCATGTAGAACTGCGAGGGGCCCCAGACAAGGTCCCGCCTGCCTGTGTTACAGGTCAACCAAGATCGCGTCTTATTCTTTCAGCAGCTGATGGGTGAGGGGCTCACGCCCAGAAAAAGGAGAGATTGGTGGCTGGCTCAGGCCTTTGCAGAAGAAATATTGTGAGTTTAAACAAGTCTATAGGTTCTTACAATCCTGGACGGAGTTTGCTGTGCGGATGCTTGAGGCTCATCTCACCACATAGTCCAAGAGTCAACTTTTTTTTTTTTATAATAATTTATTTAGGGATCCCTGGGTGGCGCAGCGGTTTGGCGCCTGCCTTTGGCCCGGGGCGCGATCCTGGAGACCCAGGATCGAATCCCACATCAGGCTCCCGGTGCATGGAGCCTGCTTCTCCCTCTGCCTGTGTCTCTGTGCCTCTCTCTCTCTCTCTCTCTCTCTCTGTGACTATCATAAATAAATAAAAATTTAAAAAAATTAAAAAAAAAGAATTTATTCTTGAGAGACACAGAGAGAGGGGCAGAGACACAGGCAGAGGGAGAAGCAGGCTCCCTGTGGAGAGCACGATGGGGGACTCGGTCTCGACCCCAGGATCATGCTCTGAGCCGAAGGCAGATACTCAACCACTGAGCCACTCAGGTGCCCCTGAAACTGGGAGTTTTTTTTTTTTAAGATTTTATTTATTTATTTGAGAGATAGCACAAGCAGGGGGAGCAGCAGAGGGAGAAGCAGGCTCCTCCCTGAGCAGGACTCGATCCCAGGACCCCGGGTTCGTGACCTAGGCCAAAGCAGATGCTGAACCGCTGAGCCACCCGGGCTGCCCAAGAGTTAACTCTATAAAACATTGCAATTATTAGGACTTTAACACCTCAGATGACCTGGTATGTTTTGTTCTTTCGTGAACGCGCAGGGCAATGTTAAGGATGAAAAAAATCACGAATTCCACTTTGCTCCGATATAAAATGAAGAAACTAGTCGTGTAAGTACACCAGCTCCCTGATACTGAGCTCCTTCCATGAGCTGAAGGAGACATAAGGAAGCGGGAGCAATCTTTGTAATGATGGAGGGGATTCCCATTATTGCAAATTAAATGGCCCCAAAAGAGAAAGTATATTTTTTCAGATTATGTTCTAGAGGAGTAGAATGCCAAGGCGTGCCCTCCTACGTGGGAACTTGACCAAAGCCCAGAGCCTTTCTCAAGGCAGCCTTAAATTCTTTGTTCCTCAGGCAGTAGATCAAGGGGTTGATTATCGGGGTGAGGACAGTGTAGAGAACAGAGATGAGCTTGTTGGAGCTCCGGGAATCGATGGCCTGGGGCCGGACATACATGAAAAGCAAGGCCGTGTAGAAGATGGTGACCACGGTGAGGTGGGAGGCGCAGGTGGAGAAGGCCCTCCAGCGGCCCGTGGCCGAGGGGATGCGCAGGACGGCCAGGGTGATGTGCCCGTAAGACAGCACGGTGGCCACCAGGGGCGACACCAGGATGATGAAGGCCAGGATGAAGTCCACCAGCTCCGCCGTCGAGAAGTCGGTGCAGGCCAGCTTGAGGATGGGGGAAATGTCACAGAAGAAGTGGTTCAGGACGTTGGAGCCACAGAACGTGGCCCTGGAGATAAAGTACACCTTGATGACAGAGATGGAGAAGCCGCTGATGAAGGAGGAGGCCACCAGCCGGACGCAGAGCCCCGTGGTCATGATGACTTGGTAGCGCAGGGGGTGGCAGATGGCCACGTAGCGGTCATAGGCCATGCAGGCCAGGAGCACACATTCGGTGCACACCAGGGAGCTGAAGAAGTAGAGCTGGGTCATGCAGCCGGTAAAGGAGATGAGTTTCTGCTGCAGGAGGAACCCCCCCAGCATCTTGGGGATGATGTCAGACACGTACCAGACCTCCAGGACAGACAGAGTGCTCAGGAAGTAGTACATGGGCCTGTGGAGGGGGGCGCTGCGGTGGACGGTGACGATGATGACGAGGTTCTCCACCAGGACGAAGAGGTAGGTGATCAGGAAGACGAGGAAGAGCACGTACTGCAGCCGAGGGGCCGTGGGGAAGCCCAGCAGGACGAACACGCTGACCTTGGTGGCGTTCCGTCCCCGCATCCTGTGAGCCGGGCGCCCGGGCCTGCAAAACACCGTTGTCCTGGAGTGAGGGGCTGCGGGGTCTCGGTGGGTGGGGGGAGCGGAGCTCACCGCCAGCTGGGTTTGGGCCCAAGGATCAGATGTCTGGGTCTATCAGCAGCAAGGGGAGGAGGAACCGTCTCCAGGTGAAGCCTCTCCCTTCAGGAGCTTCCTGGTGTCCCTGATTCTGGTCACGCTGAGGAGGACGGGGCTCTGGAATACCCACCCACATCCTCCCCCAAGTCTTGTTGGTGGTCTTGTTTCCCCACAGCCCTGAGTTCTCCAAAGATTCTAAAGGACAATAGGAAATCCAAGTTGTCTCCACCCTGGGTTGCCTGGGCCTGTTGTTGGTCATCTGGCACATTCTTTCTAAATCAATAGATACTAAACCTTCCACCTGGTTTCAGAGTCGATTTTATAAGAGGAGGGGACAGCAGCAGGCTCATAGGATGCTGGGATATAGTGTCCCAGGGAAGCCAGACCCCAGACCCAGGCACACCCACAGGGCTGGGGGCCTTGAGGAACAGCAGGAGTCTCCAAGTCAAGAGAGGAGAGTGCTCACATGTCAATCTTTCTGCCATCTCAAAACTCCGGAAAATATGACAAAAGAGGAAAAAGATAAAAACCCAGGGGTACCTGGGTGTCTTAGTTGGTGCAGCACCAGCCTTTGGCTCAGGTCATGATCCTGAGGTCCTCTTGGGATGAAGCCTGGTGTGGGGGGGAGGCTGCTTCTCCCTCTGCCTCTCCTCCTGCTCATGTTCTCTCTCTCTCTCTCATAAATAAAATCTTAAAAAGAAAAATATAAAGACCCATAACATCAAAAAGAGACCAGGAGGTCATATCAGCAAGGGAAGGATTCTGATCCAATTCAGGAGGAAAGAAAAGAGATGACAGAAAGGTGGCTGGGGCAGCAAGAGTAGAGAAGTCTAGAATGTTCTCCAGGGCCTGTATCTTCCCAGCACCTGACAGGTGTGATGGGGGGAAGGTGGGTGAACACAGGGCTCCTACATACATTCTGTTTCCAGAACAGTCCAGTGGCTGCCTCCATGTGGCTCTCCCCATCCTACGTGTGGGTCCCCGGATCTGGCCTCAATGGGACAAAGGACCACGTCACCCTCATCACCTTCATCACCAACCAAGTATTTTAACATGAAACACATCCTGCCATCATCACCAGGGCCCCGTGAAAGCAAAGCTGACATCTTCATGCTCAGACAAAGTCAGACTCAAATCAAAATATTCATGGGTTTATCCAAGACCATGACACAAACCCAGGCCCTCTGACCCCACGGCTGCAGCTCCCCCCACCAGAGGTATCCACAAGACAGAAAACAAACCCATCTGGTTCCAGCCAGAAATCTGGAATTGTTGAGATGGATACGTGGAGCTGCGGGCTGCCTTCTGACCCGACTCTAATAGGCTCTATGAACGAAAGGTCACAAAATAGAAAGTGTGTTTGACCAGGAGAGGCAGACAATAGCCTCTAAGGACCAAGTGGTGCCTAAGTAAATTTGTCACGTCTGTACTTGGACAACCGAGCAGTCACTGAGAAGCAACACAGCTCTCTGCAGGTATGGAGTGATTTCGAAGACATAGAATTAAATCTTCTAGATATTCTTAGCATGTAAGTAAGAGCACATAGGTGAGCAGACCGCGTGGGACCCTCATGCAGGGACCCGGCAATGCCCGTTGCCCAGGTGGGAAGCAGGTGCCTAGAACACAGTGGTGGACAGAGAGGGCTCCACGAGATAGTTTTGCTACTTTCTCCATTTTGTTTCGTGTTAATGTGTTAGTTATTCAAAATGGCGATCCATTACTTATTTCTAAATTCTCAAATGCTCCTTTTAAAAAAATAATGTTATGTGCTGGATTAAACAGTCAGTAGGTAAACATTTCCCCACAGTTCACATCCCAATGGAAAACCTACAGACAGACTGGGTCACTGGGAGTGAAGCTATCCTGTGGCCTCAAATGAGGTATCACATAGAATAATGACAAAACGGGGACCCTCTGGGTGGCTCAGCAGTTGAGCATCTACCTTCGGCCCAGGGCATGACCCTGGGGTCCCGGGATCGAGTCCTGCGTCCCGCGTCGGGCTCCCTGCATGGATCCTGCTTCTCCCTCTGCCTGGGTCTCTGCCTCTCTCTGTGTCTCTCATGAATAAATAAATAAAATCTTTAAAAGAAAAACCACAGGTATTTCTTGTTTCTCAGACTTTATAATAGAGTAACATGAGTTCTTAAAATTCCTTGAAGTAAACAATAGCACCCAAAAGGATGTGGCCCCTGTAGGTCCTGAAAGGACACACTAGAGTGTAAAAGTGAAGAAAACACTGAGAAGGTGCATAAATAAAGGGGGACGGTCACAGGCAAGGAAGTGCACCGGTCGCCACGAGCATCGTGAGCAGAATAACATCTGGCACAAGGAGGAGACTCTCCGTGTGTGACGGAGTCTATTCCAGACTACGCGTACCCCGCAGAAGCAGACGCTCGGGAGGGCTGAGGCCAGGCTTAGCTCGGGTGCATCAGACAAACAACCAGAAAGCCTGATTTCAGAATTAGCCTCGGATCGGGTAACGTTGCCGACCTGCTGGCCGGTCTTCTCTCTGAACCTGCTGGTCCCCAGCACGACCTCCGCAGTCCGCGGCGGCTCCGGTGCAGAGACAGCAGCAGAAGGAAGGAGGCCGCAGACAAGCACCTGCCGCTACCCCCCACCCCCCAACCCGGCCCCCCGGCGGGAGCGGGTGAGGATGCGGAGCGTCAGAATAACATGGTTTACGGCCGATTGAAGGGCTGTTATATTCAGGACCTTGGAAGAAAGGGAAGGGCCCACAGAAAGTTTGGAAAAAAATGGTCTGTAAGAGCATAAGACAGTCCACGGTATGTCTAAACCAGACATCATCGATTCTCCAATTTCTTAAAAGCAGTGGGACCAAAGCATCGAAATCGGTTCACATCAGCTAAACAGGACTCCTGACCATGTGGAAGAGAGGAAAGCGCTCTGCTAACGAGCTCCCACGTCGGTGAGCAAACCTGAGCCGCGGTTACAGGCCTGGGGTGGGGGTGGGGGTGGGTGGGGGTGAGGCCAGCAACGCCGCACGTGCGGGAATCGGCCAGACGTGTGCACGGGCGGTTCTGTGCTTCTAAATGCTTTTTTCCCTTTTAGCCAGAAAGGAGGGAGAAAAAATAGGTAAGTATTAAACTCAAAAAGTCAGGAAATATATTAAGCCCACTGAAGGACAAGCAGAGGAAAGAAAAGGGAACTCTCTCTGTGTCTCTCATGAATAAATAAAATATTTTTTAAAAAAAAGAAAGAAAGAAAAGGGGGGATCCCTGGGTGGCTCAGTGGTTTAGCCTTTGGCCTGGGGCATGATCCTGGAGTCCTGGGATCAAGTCCCACTTTGGGCTCCCTGCATGGAGCCTGCTTCTCCCTCTGCCTGTGTCTCTGCCTCTCTCTCTCTCTGTGTCTCTCATGAATGGATAAATAAAATCTTTAAAAAGAAAAAAAGAAAGAAAGAGAAGGGAAGAATCTATTTTAATTAAGAAAAAGAACAGGATTGATCAACGGAGGCAAGAGCTGGCTGGGGGCAGCCACGGAGTAGGGAGCGCATCCAATAACTGGGAAAATGGGGAACCCACGGCCACCACTGGAGGGATGAGAGAAGGTACCGACTACAGAGAGAGTCAGCAGGTGGCAGGGGAAGGATGGGCAGCACTATAAAGCACCTACTGTGCGCATCCCTGCAGTGGCTGTCCTGAGGCTTCCGGTACCCACGAGCCTTCCCGGCTCCCGGCTCCTGAGAGCTGCTGCGGGACAGCAAAGGTCAGAGTCCGTGGCAGAGGGACGACCGTCCGAGAGACCAGAGACCGGCCAGTGGAAACAGAAAGCCCAACATGGTCACGGTAGCGATCTGGGGATGGCTGGAGCCGTTGCAGGGACACCGACAGGCCCCGATGCTCCTTCCCCCGCCTGCGCCTGCAACTCTGCAGGGGGCTGGGCTTTCCCGAGCTGAGCTGCGTAAGCCCGTGCATGGCAGGCCCGGTGCTTCCCTGGATACCACAGGGCCCTGGCAAGCGTCGCACAAAGGGAAAGCCACCTGCCACCGGCCTAACCTGTTTTTACTATAGTCACAAAATTCCAGCAGCGTGCTGGCGAGCAGAGCTGGGCGACACGCGCACAAGCGCACGTGCCGCGCACCGTCGTCCTCTGTTCCAGGGCTGAGAGGGGAGCTCGCCGTTAGCAAATCTATTAGGATGATCGCGGTGACAGCCCGGCCGATGCTGAAAAGCTTCGACTGAAAACTGCGCAAGTGTTTTAGACATTTGTCCCCCCAGAGAGGTGATTTGGTCTAACGTGATAAATAATCCCCGTCTCAGCCAACAGCCTACAGCAGCCCTGCAGCCAAACACGAGGGTCGGTCCCATCCCGCTGAGGTCAGGATGGAGATGGAGCCTCCTGAAAACACGCTGGTACCCACTACACAAGGGGTAAAGGCATCGACAAAACTATCCTTGTTTCCACATCACGTGGCTTTTAACCTAGAAAGCCCGGGAGATGATTACAATCGATCAAGGGATTTCAAAGCGAATATTAAAGCGAATATTAAAAGTCATCCCATATCCCAGCAATTACTAATAAGAATGCTCCATGCTGAAGAAACATCCTAACGCAAGGATCCCAATATCTCCAAATTGATGTCAAAAATTCACTGAATTGTCTTCGAAATCTCACCAAGTCTTGCTTTTCTTAAAACGGGAAGAAATAATTCTTAGAGTCACCTGAAAATATGAACCGATGGGAATAGCCATGAAAATTCAAAAAAAAAAAAAAGAATAAAGAAAAAGAAAAGGAGACCAATGAAGAGGACTTGCTAGTTTGGATTGACCGTAAAAATGAAGATAGGAAGAAATACGAACAGGGACCGCCGCCTTGGTCGTCGATGGGGCGGCGCAGAAACGATACAGAAAGCGCCGAGGCACCCC